AGAAGAGCAGAAGTATCTGTTGATGTATTATGAGTATCATTTATTATTCGTATTGTGGTAGAACCTAGGAGCCCCGGTCATGGCCCAGGAGCCTGTTGTGCCAGGTGCTGTACGAATATAGAACAAAAAGACAGTTCCTGCCCCAATAACTCCTGGAAGGCATGGAGAAATAAAAGGGAACATACCCACAAGGCAAAGCTGAGCAATACCAGGACAGAGTAGTGGGCAATGGAATGAGGGTGGGCCAGTGCAGAGGATGCACTGGGATCCTGTTCTGCTATGAAGACAAAGAAGACTTCTGCTGCATGAAGGGATGTGACTGTGTCAGCCGTAGAATGAGAAGATCTGTTGACAGACAGCTGCGGAAAGCACCACTGGAAGGGGCAAGACTGGCAGAGATTAGGGTGATGCAGGAGAAGGAAGAAGGTGAGGAAGAGAGTGTGCAGAAATATGATCCCCAACAACTCCTGTTATCTCAGAAAGGGACCCGGTCCAGGGTCACCTCGAGGAGTAAAGAGGGGAAGGGGGACATGATGTAGGAAGGGATCGCTGATATATTCAGGAAGAGCCCATTGTATTCAATGGGAATCTCTCCATCCATTTCAATGGGCTTTGGAGCATTGAACTTAGACTCTAATAACCAATGCACTGAACTCAGAACCTAACTTGGGATCTTTTAGTTCTATGTGGGGTTTGTTTGGGGCACAGAGCTGATATTCAAAGTTTTTCTGCTGGCTGATTATGATATTATTAATAATAATACAAATAAATAATAGCGGTCTATTGGCATAAATTAGGAGTAACACAGTGATGAGGCAGGCACATGCTTTTCATTTATCCACAGGCAGAAACAGTGCAAAATTCCCTGTGCTGTCCCTATCCCTGTCCTGAAGTCTGGCCTGGAAGGACCAGCCATAAGGATGGCCCATGCAGTCCTTGGCCTTGCTGTAGAGACCAGGGTAGAGGAAGCCCATCAGTGGTGCTGGTTTGTGTGATGGGGACACCTGCCCCGTCTGGAGGGAGACCTTTTTCACAGAGACCAGAGAAATGCAGACATGAGATGGTAACAGTTTTCACTTTCTGTAGATCTGGGTTGTACTCAGAGTGGTGGTGATGAAATCATGCAAGGCTCTCTGTCCCGTTACTGGTTTCTTAGTTACCACAAGAACCAGCCAACCTGCTTTTTCAGCTGTTTCAAAGAAAATAAGAAGTTGGCTGGCTGCTGTTGGGTACCAAGTGAAGGTAGATGCCATGGACAATGGAGTCAGCTGAAGGGGAAACCCTAAAAGCCTATACTATACTCCACTAGGATGGGATCTCTAGAGATAGCTTAAGTTTTCATGGAACAGTCAAGCCACAATGAAAGTGGTAAGAACTGTTCCATTCTATACTCTGCTTTTTCTCCCCAAACCCACAGGTCCAGTCCTGAAAAGGCTGGGGCTTAGTGCCAAGCCAGAGAATGATCGCTGTGGGAAACAGTTGTGCCCACCTGCGTTTAGTGAAAATGCAGCCTGGTTTTGACTTCTGCTTAGCACCTCACATATTTTTGGGGTGTCCTGATTCCAACACAGAGGGGTTTAATAAATTCAGACTTTTCATGCCCTTAGATTTTCCTACTAGCCGGTGCATTGGCTACTTTTGAAGGAAATTGTTTTCCAACTAAAAAGTTATTAAAGCTTTTAATGTGAATGGAGTGGTTATGAAGCAGCCACTTTGGAGAGGAACAGCGTTTGCATCTGTGACTGAAAAACTAGATATGCAGCAGATACCACAGTGGTGAAGTAAACGCGCATTGGAATGTCTGTGGCAAACTGAGTGTGCATCAGAGAGTTTGACGAGAACCCAGTGTGCAATAGGGAGTCAGTGGAGGGGAAATGGAATCTGTAGAGGATGGCTGGATTTGTGTCACTGAGCCAACCATGGAGAACAGTCTGTGTGACAGAGAAAATTAGGTATTTGTCAGCAAAAGAACTTGAACTTGCAATCTTGGGCCTTTAGGCCTGGCAGGCCTATGCTTTTGTCTAGACGAGGGAACTATATTCATAGTTATACCAGTGCAAACAGACTCTGTGCAAAACAGGGCTCACACTAGTAATTTACTCTCATGCAGTGTCAGGCCCAGAAGTGCAGGGTGACGATCTGTGCCAGGCCCCGGGGAGAAAGGTGTCATGGTGCACTGGGCGCAGAGGTGCAGGCGAGACGCAGCGGGAGAGGGACCATGTACCAGGAACAGGGTGGCATTTCAGTCTTTTCCCAACAGCTGGTTTGTGGGAGGGAAAACACTTTTAGACACACACATATTCAATTATTTGCTGCTTAATATGGTGACAAAAACCTTCAATTTAAAAAGTACTCCAGGTTCCTGCCACAATAATCTGTCTCTGAAGGGGTATGCAGCAAGGAGCAGATTCCTAGCAAGGGAAGTTCTGCTCCCTCTCTCATGGGACTGGAATCACTTCATTTCCCAGTGCATCCTCATTCGGATATGTGCATGAATGTAAGTGTGCTTCCTAAAATGCCAGAGTCTCTCTAGGGGGTTGCATGCGCTCTGTGAGCCTGTGCAGGCATGTCTGAATATGTGTGTAGTGTGCGTGTCCCTGCATGTGCGTGTAGGTAAATATGCTCGTATGTGAGTGTGTTTGTGCATAGATGCTTGTGCATCTTTGCAGGTATATATGTGTTTGTATGTCTTTAGAGTGTGTGGTGTGATTGTGCATCCATAGATGTTTATATGTCAGTGTACATGTGAGTGGGAATGTGTAGCTTTATGTTTGTGGATCTTTGCACATATGTGTGTGTGAATGTGTGTGTATATCTATGTACTTGGGCATCAACGTGTGGGTGCTATAGTGTGCATCATTGTATGTCTGTGAACATGCATGCGTGTGTACAGGGGTGTGGATTTGAATGTGTAGGTCCCTGTGGATTTGTATGTTCTGTGTGTGTTGGCCTGTGGATCTTTGCACATGCATGTAGTGTGTAAGTCCGTATCTGCATACAAATGTGTGGGTGTCTCAGTCTTTGCATGTGAATGTGTGCATACATGTTTGGTGTGGGAGCGGGATGTGTTTGTGCATGATCTGTGTGAGTACACAGAGCTGGGTGTGCAAGTGAGTGTACACATCTCTTCCTGTTGCAGTACAAGTATAATACTGCACTGTCAGGAGGACCTTGGCTGACAGCCCAGCAGTGTGGGACATGTTTGCAGAAGATGAAGCAGAATAGATGTCACAAAAGTTATTTTTGTCTATCAACTGAAGCATTATAGAGACATCAGCAAGCTCTTGTCTCATGCCAGCTTAATTCCTAGTTAATCAGCAGGCTGCTTGGGCAAAGGAAGGAACTCACATCATGGGCTGATGAGCCAAACTTCTCGGCGAGGACTGGGGGCCCTGACAGGCATCCTAATCACTAGTTTGGCTTTCGCTTGGATGCGCTGCAATGCTCCCCTCCATGGAAGAGCTGCATGCCTTGTAAGTTGTACCTTGTTATCTCCTAATCTGCCAATGGGATGGAAAAGACCTGCTAGGTCATTTTATCACCCCCTTCCCCATGGGCCACTGCAGGGCTTTTTGCAGTATATGCTCCAGTGCTTTGTCCAGTCGAGTTGTAAATGACTCAAACCCTGAGGCTTCCTTCACTTCCATGGGGAGGCTGTTCCACAGCCGCAGAGATCTCACTGCCAGGAAGTTTCTCCTGATATTTAGCTTAAATTCCCCTTTGCTCATTTCCACCCCATCACTCTTAGCGTCACCCCTGTGGAACACCCTAAATAACTCATCTTGCTCCTCACTGTGCTGGATGCCCTGCAGAGACTCTTTCCTCCCTGATACCCCCTTGGCCAGCTGCCACATCACACAAACTATGCTGGTTTGCACCAGCTCAGGATCGGACCCCTTTAGTTCTTGTAACTTGCTCTCCTGAACTGATCCTATAAGACCCCCCGGCATTATTGTTGCTCTTGTTCACTCTTCTAGGGAAGGCCCATTCCCTTCCTACTTCGTGACTGGCACGTGTCTATCCCAGCTCTGCAGCCCAGCTCATTTAGTTTCTTGATCACATGAATTTGGGTGACTCACCCGATAGCCACTTTCTGGGAGCTGCTGGCCCCATATCTGGTTATCCGAAGGTCCATGAACAGCAAATAACACAGGGATAAGAACAGGCCAAACTGACAACCACTGTCTCATTTGGCAGACTCTTCATGAGCAGGTTTCTAACCTCATCTGACCATGTTCTTTCCTGTTCATGCTTCTAACCCTCTGGCTGCTTTAGGTTACTGGGCCCACTGGATTCAATGGTAGGACTCCCATTGTCTTCAAGCCCGTTATTTATCTGTCCCCAGTGGCTTTTGCAACTACTCCCCTCTTAGTATCAGCCACACACTCATTCATCCCTTTCCCATACCATTAATAACTATTTGAACACCAAACCCTAAAGTTCCCGAATGGGCATCTCCCCCAGCTCGGTGCACCACTGTGTTACCTGACCCTTGCTTTCTGGTCCAGCAACCCGTTTTCAGTCCACATGATGCTGCTTCTACCCAAGCTGATCTGACTTTGGTTTTCTAGGGGGATTTTGCCAGACACTTTTTCAAGGGCCGTTACAAAGGTACAGGAACATTTGCTGTCTCTCTGCTGGTTGTTGAAGGTCATGCCTGTCCCCGTGTTTCCTCAGTTCTCCATGACTTTCCCCTAAGTGGCATGCAGTGGTTACTGTTATTAATTATTATTATTAGCATTACAGTAGCTCTAGAGATCCCAACCAATATCTGGGCCTGAAGTGCTAGGCGCTGTACATACACATCCCAGGAGACAGCTCCTGCCACAAAGAACTTACAGGCTAAATGGACAAGACAGACAAAGGAGCATAGAGTGGAGAAGGGACTTGCCCATGGTCACATCAATTCCTGGAGCACAACCAGATGGAGGCCACCTGCACCCACTGCTATGTTTAATATTTCCAAGTCTCCCCTTACTCTTCTGTTTTTAAACCAACAGCTGCAGCAACAAGGACCCCATCATTCCCTGATTGTCTGGATCAATGGCACTCAACCTGAAGCTTGGAGGCATGAGCAGCAGGGCGTGTGGAGTGCAGATCCCAGGATCACACCAAGTGGGGAGGGATACTGAACAAACCGACTGTCAGTGGGGGAAGAAAGTAAGATCTGTCAGCTCTGCAGGAGGAAGGAAAGAAGCTGCCTGGAAGTGGGCTCCTCCTCTCTGGAGATGGCTGTCCCCACACCCCGAGGGAAGCTGTGATGCAATAGGACTTTGCAACTTATGTTTCTCCTTTCATTTTAAAATTCATTGAGACCTGTTATGAGAGCTGAGCAGATTTCAGTGCATAGATATGATTCCCCACTCCCTGGCGTGTATGAAGTTTTTTATACTAAGGCAAAGCAGGTGCAAAATGTCACTATTCTGACTTAATAGTATTTGACATCCACCCTGCACTGGTGTACGTGGCTCCATAAGGAAGTGGAGAAGCAGGCCCCTGGGGCATGGGGACCATCCATTGATGTCAGTGATGCTCTGCTACCTTGCACCAGGGAGGATCTGACCCTGGAGTCTGAAAGAGAGAAATCTGAATGAATTGCCCCAAAATAGAGGTGAGGGGCTGAAGCAAAGTGGTGCAAAGGTCCCAAGCCCGCATCCCAGGGGAAGGAGCAGCTGGCAAAGCAAAGCGTGAAATGATGGGGTTTTCTCCACCATATAAGGTGGACAGAAAGCTGGCTAGATTGTTGGGCTCAACGGGTATTGATTAATGGCTCCATGTCTAGTTGGCAGCCAGTATCAAGTGGAGTACCCCAAGGGTCGGTCCTGGGGCTGGTTTTGTTCAATGTCTTCATTAATGATCTGGAGGATGGTGTGGATTGCACCCTCAACAAGGTTGCAGATGACACTAAACTGGGAGGAGTGGTAGGTACGCTGGAGGGTAGGGATAGGATACAGAGGGACCTAGACAAATTAGAGGATTGGGCCAAAAGAAATCTGATGAGGTTCAACAAGGACAAGTGCAGAGTCCTGCACTTAGGATGGAAGAATCCCATGCACTGCTACAGACCAGGGACAGAATGGCTAGGCAGCAGTTCTGCAGAAAAGGACCTAGGAGTTACAGTGGACAAGAAGCTGGATATGAGTCAACAGTGTGTCCTTGTTGCCAAGAAGGCTAACGGCATTTTGGGCTGTATAAGTAGGGGCATTGCCAGCAGATCGAGGGACGTGATCATTCCCCTCTATTTGACATTGGTGAGGTCTCATCTGGAGTACTGTTCAGTTTTGGGCCCCACACTACAAGAAGGATGTGGAAAAACTGGAAAGAGTCCAGTGGAGGGCAACAAAAATGACTAGGGGGCTGGAGCACATGACTTATGAGGCGAGGCTGAGGGAACTGGGATTGTTTAGTCTGCAGAAGAAAAGAATAGGGAGGGATTTGATAGCTGCTTTCAACTACCTGAAAGGGGGTTTCAAAGGGGATCGATGTAGACTGTTCTCAGTGGTAGCAGATGACAGAACAAGGAGTAATAGTCTCAAGTTGCAGTGGGGGAGGTTTAGGTTGGATATTAGGAAAAACTTTTTCACTAGGAGGGTGGTGAAGCACTGGAATGGGTTACCTAGGGAGGTGGTGGAATCTCCTTCCTTAGAGGTATTTAAGGTCAGCTTGACAAAACCCTGGCTGGGATGATTTAGTTGGGGATTGCTCCTGCTTTGTGTAGGGGGTTGGACTAGATGGCCTTCTGAGATCCCTTCCAAGCCTGATAGTCTATGATTCTCAGGACTTTGGGATGAGTCACCATTAGACTGCTTGGCAGGCGCCATTTCCCAAGCACGTGGCAAGATAAGTTACATGCTCTCCTACAAATGTTATGAGGTCACAGTGCATTCCACCTGAACGGTGTTTCCTCTACCTTGTCCTTTCTGCCTTGCAAATGTTGTTAATAAAGTTTACAGGGCTGGGAGCATAAAGGTTCAGCTTGCAGCCTTTGGTGAGCACTGAATGGACATGGTATGTCAATGTTTAGGAGAGGCGTCTATGTCAGATGCTGTCCCAATGGCCTTGAGGAAGGCTGTGCACCACCCCAAAGAGGACTATCCTTTACTCCCCGAGCTAGGCAATCCCAGTCTTCTATGAACAGCTATTCCAGCACCGTCCCATTGCATGGTTGCTTGGTTCTGAGATTACTGTAGTTCTTATTCCAACCCACCCTGTAGCATTGCCATGCAGGGTGCTTTTAACGGCCCTAGAGCTGGCTGCATCTTGGTGGCTGATGAAACTACCCTTACGTGCAATGGTATATCAATTTGCTAAGTGCCTGGCCGATGAAAACTGCCCATCAAAGTACAGCGATCGCCATTGAACTGTGCAGTTACCTTGTAGTACCACCTGAGAAACCCCAGCCAACCAATGTAGGAGGAAGCAGATGTCTCAGATACCACCCAGGAGAATTTGGTGGCACCTACTGACTTGTGAATCATAGAACTGAAAGGGACCTCAAGAAGGCATCTAGTCCAGTCCCCTGCACTCCAGGCAGGACTAAGTATTTTTATTATTAATGGCTAACTGTTAATTGTTACTATGCCCTTCACCTCTCCTCCTGCTCCATTACCCACCCCAGACCAGGGAGTGAGGTTACATAGTTCTGTGCTCCCCAATCTTTCCCACCCCCTTTCCCTAGCTCACTGCCTTGCTTAATTAAGTCCAGCCACCTCCCCCGATCTCCCACTCCACCCCCGGCACTTCTCCACAATGGAAATATGCCTGGCAAACACTGTCTGTAAGTACCTGGCCCAGAGCTCATTGGGAGGGTGTCTTTTCAGTGATTGGGCTGGGTGCTGGATCAGGCCCTATGGGAGTAACTGCAGTCGACAAGTGAGTGGGTTGCATATGGCAGTGAAAGGAAGGGAGTGGCTGGAGATCCAGGGCTCCCCAGCACTTAACCCCCTGGCGTCTCTCTGCTTGTTAAGCCCTGTCAGCCCTCCCATGCCATATGTTTTCTTAGTGCTCCTGAGGGAGTTCAAGGCCCAGCCCCTTCTCCCCTGCTGGTTCCCTGCCTGCCGTTCCCAAAGGAGCTGTGCTGAAAGAGAGGGCATGTCAGAGAGCAGCGTAGGCCGGGAGTGTGCTCTGCCTTTCTGGGCGGCGCCCATGCCCCAGCTGTGTGGCCCAGTGGCCACTCTTGACAAATGGGCATGAATGGAAATGCCAGACCTCAGGCGAAGTGTGGTGAGGAACTGACCTGTCACCTCCATAGGGAGGAAATAGGCCAGTCAGAGATGCAGCAAAGACTGCTAAAGTTGGACACTTATAGACACCAATATATGAGCTGGAAATTCCCATCTAGCCAGCCCCCCTTTGGCTCGTCCCTTGTGGTATGTTCCACATCCCCCATGCTCTGGCCAGGCTAGTTTTGGAAGGACTCCAGCAATTAAGCTTTCACTCAGGTCTGGATGAAAGTCTTCTGGGTGCTTAGGCCCACTTGTCCCACCCTGTCTCTCTGCTCTAGGATCCTAGCTTACTTTGGAGCCAGCGCCGCCCGGAACAGGAACATTGGGCTGGTGAACCCACACCCAGCTCAATCTGCAGCCCATGCTGCTGGGCCATACTTATTCTTCAACACAAAGAAAAAGAAACATAGACCAATAACATCAAATAACAGTCCTGTTCCCAGCCAGGATTGGGGGGCCTTCTGGCCATTCTGCCCCAGTTTAGGGGCCTGCTTGCCCTCTCACAACCTTCCGTTGCAGCCACATCTGAGTGCGTAGCCAGCCCTCTCCTGGCCCGAGGCTGGGGCCTCCTTTGTATCTCCGAGCTGGGAATCATTAACCCCAATCATTCGCTGCTGCCCAACTGGATCGGATGCTTCCAAGCACCTGCTGGCTGGGTTCTTCTCTAGGGCAGGCTGCTCTCGGCCCTCAAAGGAGCTAGAGCTGCAAAGCTGGAGCCCCACCCATCATCCAAAGAAAGAAAAGGAAGAAAGAGCAGTTCCCTACTGGCCGGCCAAGCAGCAGGGTGGGTTAAGGCACATCCAGCTGTTCAGAGATCCATGCAGGGAAGTGGGGTAGAGAGCCAGAGATGGGAATGTGGGTGCATGAATATGTGCTCTTGCCTCCCTCCTGCCCCCACTGGGATGAATGCGGCTCAGAAGGAAAGCGTGGCTTGTTTGGGAATGGGATTATAGGAGGCAGCTGCTTGCCCTGGCAGGGGACTGGACTCGATGACCCAGGAGGTCCCTTCCAGTTCTATGTCCTTATGCAAGGACATGGCAGGCAGTTGCCCCCTGGATATAAGTGCGAGCCACAGGAGGGCGGTGGAAGAGACCTTGAAGAAAAGGAAGGACCTCCGTGTGAAGGGCAGCTGGAGAATGATGTCATGTAGCCGAGGTTCAGGGGAGCAGCAGGAGACCTGTACAATCCAAACCATCCAGAGGGCCAGTGGTCAGGACACCATACTGGTGAGCAACCAGAGAAAATGTCTGCAAGTGAGGAACTTATGCCATTGTTCCTCCACAGCTGCCTCTTTGGATGGCCAGGCAACCAGCAGAGGGGTAATGGGAAACTACTCACCTTTGTCAATGCTGGCTCACACCTCCTGGCCTCTGAGTAATTTGCATGGCCTTGGAGACCCTGGTGGGGTGTCTACCTCACACAGGCAGTGAAAGGGTTAGTGGAGAGGCAGAGGACACAAAAATTGTGGGAGTGGTAAATAATGAAACAGACTGATACAGAGCAATCTGGATCACTTGATACAGGGGGCACAAGCAAACAATATGTGTTTTAATACAGTTAGATGTATAAATCTAGGAACAAAGAATGTAGGTCATACTTCCAGGATGGGGGACTCTATCCTAGGAAGCAGTGACTCTGAAAAAGATTTGGGGGTCCTGGTGGATAATCAGCTGAACTTGAGCTCCCAGTGGCCAAAAGAGCTAATGTAATCTCGGGATTCATAAACAGGGGAATCTGAAGTAGGAGCAGAGAGGTTATGTTACCTCTGTATTTGGCACTGATGTGACCGGTGCTGGAATCCTGTGTCCAGTTCTGGTGCCCACAATTCAAGAAGGATGTTGATAAATTGGAGAGGGTTCAGAGAAGAGCTAAAAGAATGATTAAAGGATTGGAAAACCTGCCTTCTAGTGATAGACTCAATGAGTTCAATCTATTTACCTTAACAAAGAGAAGGTTAAGCAGGGGTGCTGGAACAATTTGTATGGTGGGGATGCTGAGAGCAATCGAACCAAACTGTAAACCCTGGATATGATGGAAACCACTTCAACCCAGGGAGTGCGGCAGCACCCCTAGTTCCAGCATCTATGAGGTTAAGAGGTGACTTAATTACAGTCTATAAACATCTACATTGGGAACAA